TTTAAATTTTATGTTATATTGAAAGGGCGATAAAAAAAAAAAAACAAATTCTATAAGAAAACAATTATCCTTAACTTACTCTTAGTTGGTGGTAATTAAAAAAACAGAATCTGAAAAATTAAGATATTTTGATATTCAGGACGTTTATTATAATTATTCATTAAATAAATTTTAAAAATAAAATAAAATACACTTATAAATAACTGATAAATGCCTTAAATATCAGGCATTCTGATTTTCATATTTGTGCTTAAAGAATTTAATTTCTTTGAAAATGAAGTGTGCCCCATGCCCAATAAAGTGGAAGTGCAACCCCTCTTCGGTTCGGGTATAGTCCTTTATATTATAGACCATGAGCATGAACATGTTTCAAGTCACAAACCAACATGGAACTGATGTATGCAGTTTTGTTTTGCATTTCTTTCCTCTTCCTCTGGCGGATTTTCCTCCGCCGCTCCCCCTCTGCCCGAACACTTCCTCCAGGACCTACCAGTCTCCCCATCATTGGCTCCCTCCATCGTCTAGGCCCTTATCCCAACCACTCCCTCTACGAGCTCGCCAAAATCTACGGCCCTCTCATGACCCTCCGCCTCGGCTTCGTCACTACCGTCATCGCCTCCTCCCCCGAGACCGCTAAGCAAATCCTCCAAATTCACGACCAGTCCTTCTCCGAACGTACCATTCCTGAAGTCGTCGCCTCCCAACCGGATCCAGATGCCACTTTAGCCTGGGCCATCGGTGATCAAAGGTGGAGGAACCGCCGTAGAGTCTGTACCACACAGCTCTTCACCGTCCAGAGGCTCAACTCCTTCCAACACCTCCGCCAAGAAAAGGTAGAACAGCTTATCAAACACATCAAGAAACATCAGATTTCAGGGTCCCAGATAAACATAGGAGAGGTCGTGTTCGCTACAACGTTGAACTTGATATCCAGCACAATCTTTTCCATCGATATTGTTGACCCAGAATTCAACACAGCTCAAGAATTCAAAGATTTGGTGTGGAGAATAATGGAGGATGCCGGGAAAGTTAATCTATCTGATTATTTTCCCGTACTGAAGAGGTTCGATTTACAGGGGCTGAAGAAGCATATAAGGCCCTCCTACAAGAGATTGCATGAGATATTTGACGAGATGATCGAGAAAAGAATGGCGAAAAGAGCATCCGATCCGATGACCAGAAGTGGGGATTTCTTGGATGTTCTTCTTGATCAGTGTGAAGAAGATGGGTCGGATTTCACCCGCCAAAACATGAAGCCTTTGATTCTGGTAAGAACCAAGAAACACCAAGCTGCCGACGACTTCGTTGAGATAAAATTATTTGCATAGTTCCTGACTCTTTTGAGAGTATTTCATTCAGGTCCTAAATCTCTTAATTATTGCTCACCACACTTTTAACAGGACTTGTTTATAGCTGGAAGTGATACAACTGCAATAACAACGGAATGGGCAATGGCAGAACTTCTCGGGAATCCCGAGATCATGCAGAAGGCAAGGGAAGAACTCAGGGAAGTCATTGGCAGAGAGCGGGCAGTGAGAGAATCCGACATCGATCAGCTTCCATATCTTCAAGCTGTGGTCAAAGAAACCCTGAGGTTGCATCCGGCAGTTCCACTTCTCTTGCCGTACAAAGCAACAAATGACGTTGAAGTTTGTGGCTACACCATTCAGAAGGGCACACAGGTCCTGGTGAATGCATGGGGTATGGCTCGGGACCCAAACTACTGGAAGGAACCCCTGGCATTCCGCCCTGAGAGGTTCCTGAACTCCAACGTGGATTACAGAGGTCGGGATTTTGAGTACCTACCGTTTGGTGCTGGTCGGAGGATCTGTCCCGGACTACCTCTAGGCATTCGCATGATTCACCTGATGTTGGGTTCCCTCATCCATTCGTTTGAATGGAGACTTCCTCCTGGTGAGGAGTTGGACATGAAAGATCAGTTTGGAGTCACTTTGAAGAAAGCTAAATCCCTTTGTGCTATTCCCATTTAGGAAAAGCATACATAAAGAGGAGGACATAAAATGATTTGATTACCGACGCTGACGGTAATTCATAGAGTAATCTTCGCGTTGTTATGTAACTCTATTAATACTCCTATGATTATATTAATATTTAGAGATTTTAAGTTTCCAATTGTCTTATTTGTTAAGAATACTAAAGTCTTATATATGTTAGTGACATAAATCTTTGGTAGTATTTTTTATTTTTGATGAATTTTTGTATGATATGGTATAACTTGCATTGTAATTACTTCAATTATTAATATAATTATACGTTTATCAACAAAAAAAAAAGAAGAGAAAACTACTTCTGTTAAGATTGAAAGAAATTGTTGGCGATGATATCGGCATCAGATTAGTAAAAACACACGCTCGATGTGAAATCTGGAGTGACATTAGGCAACGCCTGTAATAAGCTTTGCTGTCCAGATGGGTCCTTAAGCAGTTGTATTTCGTTTAAGCATTTACATAACGCTTCAAATCAAAGTAAGGTTATGGTCCATCTTCATGAACAAAGTCCGGCTAGATATATCCGTCCTGCAAGAAAATTAATCATGAGGCAATCCAAATCATAAAACTTTTAAACTTATGTTTAAAACATAAGTTTAGTATCAGATAGAAAGCTTCATTTTCCTTTCAAAGAAACCTTAACAATTAGTTTCAGTGGTTGGCTTTTGGGGTAGAAAAGCTTAAACGGCTTAAGAGAAGTGCACAACATCAGTGGTTCACACACGCTAGATTATAATGTAAATCATGAAAATGATATTTAGCTCTCTATCCCTTCTCATTTGCATAATTGATTTCATTCTGTAATCTGACTAGCTCTTGTTCAATCCACTGACATATTTTCCAAGTTGCACAGAGAGAGTTAGAAATTTCTCAAAAGAAAAAAAAAAAAAAAAAAAAAAAAAAAAAGAAGACAAAGACAGGAAAGAATACAAATAATTGTCATACACGAGAATGCCTAGTTAATCATATATAATGCTAGAATAGAAGCCCCATTGTTAAGAAAGACAATTAAGCAAGCAGTCCCTTAGATTTATTCATCTTTTGAATTTGAATACGATCACCTTATAACTCAAATTTCAAACTCCTGGTGGAGGGAATGGAGGTCTATGAGAGTTAGGAATGCATACATCCTTTGTTATATCCTTGTGCAAGCTTCTATCCTTCTGTTTAAGCTCCTCCTGTCAACCAATTTTGTGAAAGACTATTGAATAACCAGCTTCCATATTTTTCATCTTAAACTTTTGCAAAATCCTAATTCCTAAGTAAACAAAAAAGAACAGAAATAAATATGAAGCCATCTTAGATCTTAATCTTTGCATATGATTCTTCTATTAATTTTCCACTCCCTTACTAAAAAGTTCTCTACAAAGATTTCATTTCTGTTTTTAAGGAAGGGCCTTTGAATAGAAGTGTACAACAATCTCAGGATCCAAGAGAGAGCCATATTAAAAAGTGGTAATTGCTGCATGGAACAAGATCAAATGTAAGTTGTGACAGCAAGAACTTACAACAGAAGGTTTTTTGAGCAGGCCATCTTTCACTCTGATGCAAATCCTCACACAGTTCCTGTTAACCAACACCACCCAATTTGCAAAAATCAAAGCCATGGAAAATCCCATGATACTTTCCAGGAAGAGGGTCCATGCACTTGTGAAAGATAAACAGACATATGACCAGAATCAGTTTGACAACAGCTTAGGATAAGGACTTCTCTTATTAAGCCAGAACTAAGTTGGAGAAAAGTAAACCTAACCTTCTTAGAATGGAACTATGCTTGTCATTGCAGAAGATATAATCATATCAATTTAGTTTCATAAATATCTTACTATTATTAACATCAATATGTGTTCACAATGAAGAGTTTTCCATATATTGGTGAGATGTCACTGTCAGACAGCATGGATGTGTTAACATCAGGTTCCATACAAAAAACTTGAAGGAAAACATCCCCATTTGTTTCCACGTCTAGGGTGCTCTTTATGCCTGCAGGCCAATGGAATCAAAATAATATCTCAAAAATGAACAAGTTGTTAAAATCATTTACAAGGGAGAAAGACAACACAATAAAAGATAACAGCTTCCTGTTTAAAGTATATGCATGCTTCATGTTAAATACAACCTCAGGCTGTAAAAATAATAATAATAATAAATAAAAAGAAGAAGAAGTTAAATACAACCAAAACTCAACATGAAAAATCAAGATTAATAAAAACAGATGAACTACCAGTTACCTGTAACCTGCCGGAGATGGTAAGATGTACTCCCTGAACCATTTCCACACCCCTTTTTGACTCCAATGGAACTTCCAACAACCTTGTCCCCAAATTGTGTGACTGCATTATTAGCTTCTCTACTAAGCTTCTTCTTAAGTACACAAGTTTGATATTTTCAGGAACTATAGATGCTAAACAACTCTTTTGCAATTCAGTATCCACCTTCTTCTCGATCAGGAGAAACTCCATCTTCGTTTAAAGTTTCATGCTTCTTGCATTGTGCCATGACACGTTCACCTTTCTCCCATGAACTGCTCCCTTTAACATTCTCATTTTTGCTGTCTTATATTGCAGCTACGTCCTTTTTGCCCTTGAGAATCTTAATCGTATTAGAGGTATTCTTGCGTTGCTTAATTTGTAATTGAGCACCACGTAAATAATCAACTGTCAAGCCTTCTTCCTTCATTATTATTTCTAGATACTCTTCGAACAAGAATTCTTCTGTTTTTTCGTCATCAGCTGAATCCATCTTGTCATACAGAGAAACAGCCATAAAGTCACAAATAAATATTAAAATGTAAATAAACCACAAGAATTGTCAGTGGAAAAGTCAGAGAGATCAGACATAATTAATGTTGGAACAAATTGCTTCATATTTTGGTTAACTCAGTGTAAGACTAAAAAATTAATAAAATTAAAAAAAAATACACTATTATAAAAAAGACAAAATTTATGTAATTTAGTTCTAATTTAATTGAGGCTTTGTTTATGGGCACTCACAAGAAAAAATTTTTTATTAAAAATAAAAAAATACAATTTATAATACTCTCAAAAAAATATCAAATTTTCAATTACAGTAAAATCTTACTCATAATATTTTTAAATACAAAACACGCTCGAAAAACACACTCAACAAAGTAATTTTAACCACTCTTCTCTTGCTCACCCTCAGTCAAAGCACTCACAAAACTCTTGTATTCTCTAAAGCTCACTTTACTTTGGATTGCTCTCTTGGTGTGATTTGCCAGAATGGCCAAATGCCAACCACCCACAATGAATGCAATGGGCTCCAAAGTCATAACCCCACAATAAATGTTGTATGGATCAAGTTGCAGCAATCAAATTTCCATTTCAAAGGCCAACCATGCACAATAAATATTGCGTGGACAAAGTTGCAGCAACCAAATTTTCATTTCAAAGGCTGCCACGAGACTTTCAATTTTTCAACAAAATTAGACTGCTATGAGATTTCTCATGCAACCAAATTTAAAAGTTTGAAATTTGCATGCTTTTTCAACCACTATGCAGAACCCACATGCCGCAACAATTAAAATTCAATTTCATTGAAAAAAATTATACTTTATGAGACTGATATAAACTCCAGCATATCATGCCATCCATCACTCTTCTTTCTTTATTCCTTCCTAGCTTCACTTTTTTCCTTTTTGGATGGTCCAAGAAAGTGGAATGCAGTCAATTCTTTTAACTTATCCAAAAAATTGGAGAGAATTTAGATAGTGTTAATGGCAATTAAAAAGGAATGATGTTGCCCGAAAGAAGGAAAATATTTGACACACAATGATTTAAAGATAATAACAAACCACTAGGCAATCATATTCCGCATTGTTTTTAACATGAAGAGATAAATCTAAGCACTCATCACACATCCCTCTCTTCTCCTTAACTGGTGCAAACTCAGAAGCTTTAAAGCAGAGTCCACAAACAGCATAGAGATAACAGAGGCAATGAAACTCACAGGATTTATCGCAATTGTAACAAGAATGCCAGAGTGGAACATCAAAATTATAATTCATCGAGCCAGTGGTACAGAGGTATATATTATGTGAGCCTTGGAGTACCCCTTGTACTCCTTTAAATAAATTCATTGATCAAAAAAGGAAAAAGGATATATGCTCAAATCAGGCAGAATCATTTAGAGGGAAGAAAATGTTAAACAACTATCATAACTGACAAAGAATGCTTTTCTTAGAATGCTAAAAACTTAATATCTTGTAAGAATCAAAACTTAACTGCAAATACAGTTGTTTTGGAACTTTAAAAATGAATTCTTTCTTTCCCACACATCGAGGATGGTAAGCTCTCAGACAATCCCTGAAATTAGGAAACATGAAGTCGAGAACACATCCAAAATAAAGCTCTTATACGGATTTAAACATTAAAAATAATGTTTCAGTTTTGCCTCTTGACTTCCACCCTTCGCATCTCGCCTGCACATCATCCATAGTCTGATTTAATTGGTTAGAAAGAACAAAAAAAATTCAATTCTAAAATTTCAGACAAGGAATTTCGTGAAATCATTCTAGAAATGAATATATACCTCCCAGATCCGTCGTAGGTTGGATTAATTGATAACGCAGCATATTAGATCAGCTTCTCCGGTGATCACTTTAACTACGCACCCTTACCACCCCGCCAGCATCTTCCGGTGATCCCATGAAGTTCTGAACCAAAAAAGCTGATACCTTCCATCTGATGAAGCCCACCGTCATCGATCTCTTCATGCTGTCCCCGTTGTGCAGCCAAGACCTCAGGATTTCTGAGGCACCAGGCAGATTTTGCCATTTCATGGTCATTAGCATTAATTTTAAATTTTATGGTCATTAGCATTAATTTTAAATTTTAAGCCTTCCCATCTGTTCTGCGTGCCGAAGATATTACTATTGATTTATTTAGATCATTAATATTAATTTTAAATTTTATGTTTTTTTCGAAATGTGGAAATTATATTATATATTATAAGGAGAATTTACATTAAGTATTCATGCTATCTACAAGAAGCAAAAACGAAAGTAAGTTAGGCGGTCTGTGCGCCCAGTACCATGGGCATTTGCCCATCAGTGATGATTTCGCCACCCAATCTGCTACTCTATTTCCTTCCCGTAGCACATAATTGAAGAGAAAGTCAGGATGACAGAAGCATGCTTGTCTGATGTTCATAATAACAGGTTTTACTTCCCATGGAAGAAGTTTTTCATGCTGCTGTATATAAGAAATTAGTGCCTGGTTATCAGATTCAAAAATAACAGCATGAAGTCCCCTGTTTATAGCAAATTGGATGGCTCTTAACATGGCAAGTGCCTCGGCCATTAAAGGAGATAAAGCCACACAACCAGCTATATCCAAAGCAAATTTGGCCATTTGAATTGCGTGCAACCATAGCTAGTGCAGCAGAGCCCGAGTCTGGTACATAAGCAGCGTCTACATTGATCTTAATAAAGCCTTGTGGCGGTCTAGACCAAGAAGATTGTTGTGGTTTGTCAGATGCCCTGGGCTTGGGAGGTGGAACTAGAAGGTCTTTAGTTGTTGGAGGAGAGTATTCTTTGAGCATGAGGGATATGCGGGTGACTACCTGGTGAGGTGAAATATCAACATGTTCATAATATTTCTCATTTCTAGCCTTCCATACATGCCAGCAAATAATAGCACAGTGTTCCACCATAAAGCAAAGATGTATTTGTTTGGCAACATTAGTAATGTACCTCCACCATTCAACAAAATTAACTACCCCCAGCTGCCTAGGATCAAAACCCAAGGCTGAACCAAACCATATTGGTTCAACATGAGGGCAATAAAATAACAAATGCATGAGAGTTTCATCAGTCGTACGACAGTTAGGACATAGAGCCTCATTTAAGATGCCTCTTTTCATCAAATTATCCAATGAAGGTAAGGAATTATGGATAGCCCTCTATGGAAAAACCCGAATCTTAGGAGGCGCCTTTAGTTTCCATAGATATTTCCACTCACCCAAAGACCGGATCATGTTTTCATTATGCCATCCATCCTCATGAGCAACATTAAGGGCCTGTAAGTAAGCACTTTTAACAGAAAATCTTCCGTATTTATCATAGTGCCATACAATGGAATCTAAACAAGCCCCAGTAGGTATCTTAAGTATTTCCTTACATTCTTCCCTACTACAGTGTTCATTTAATTTATTGACATTCCATTCCCCATGATTGTCCAATAAATCACACAAATGGGAGAGCAGTGAATTAGAAGGTGAGGACGATGTCACCTTAAAACCAAGTAATGTGGGTATCCATTTGTCTTCATAGACCAGGATATCTTGGCCATTACCTACATTCCATCTTGCTCTGAGTTGAATGATATCCCTGCCCTTCAGAATACTTGACCATGCCCAAGATGGATGACCGCCTTTTCAAGCCTCAAAAAAAGAGGATTCTGGAAAGAGGAATGCTAGCTGCACTCGCCTTTCTCCAGCACTCTCCAACACTCCCTCATCTAAAATAGCCACGTGAACTTTTCTAGTTGGAAACTTTGAATTGCGAGCCAAATTTTGTTACGTGGACATTTTACATGAGTGAGTGTTGGAGAGTGCTGGAGAAAGGCGAGTGCAGCTAGCATTCCTCTTCTGGAAAATATAAACTTTTTAAAACTCAAAGCCATAAGGCATTAGGATTTTGCAGGATTCGCCATGCCTGTTGGGCTAACATAGTGAGATTAAAACAATAAAGATCTTTGAAACCCATACCTCCCACATGTTTGCTCTTCGTGAGGCACTTCCAACTAATCCACCGCATTTTTCTTTCATCTTTTTGTTGACCCCACCAAAAATCTTGAATGCTGTGATTAAGATCTCTACAAATGCCTACAGGGAATAGGAAACAAGGCATGGTAAATGTTGGGATTGCCATAGCAACGACTTTTATCAATACTTCCCGACCAGCCTGGGATAATAGGTTCCTTTTCCAATGAGTGAGCTTTTTTTGGACTTTATCAACTACATATTTCAGGCTATCCCTTTTAGATCTTCCCCATGACGTGGGTAGACCAAGATACTTAGAGACAGCAGCTTCTCTTTGAATTCCAAGTCTATTATAGATTGATTCTCTAATTTTTACTGGGGTATTTGGGCTGAATATGGCTGCAGACTTAGAAAAATTAACTCGTTGCCCAGTTATATCCCCATAAATTTGTAAAATAGTTTGCAAATGGCTTACCTTCTCCAAGGTTGCTCGATAGAAGATTAATGAGTCATCTACAAATAAAAGATGGCTTATTGCAGGGCTTCTTCTTCGTATTTTATATCCAGTCATCCTCTTTTCTACTGTAGCTGCAGTTAGTAAACGAGATAAAATATTAGGAATAAACAAGTATAAGTACGGTGATAGTGGGTCTCCTCGTCGCAATCCCCTTTGAGAACAAATAGAGGAGTTTGAGAGCCGTTAATTCCCACTGTATAAGATACTATTGTAACACATTGCATAATGATGTGGACCCATTTATCACAAAACCCATGAGCTTTCAGGGTATGTTCTAGACACTGCCATTCAACGCTATCATAAACCTTTTGAATGTCTAACTTCAAAGCCACAATGCCGTGCTTTCCTTTTTTCTTCAGATGTAATCCATGAAAAGCTTCATGTGCAATTAGGATATTATCTTGAATGGCTCGTCCAGGGATAAATACCGACTGAAAAGGTGAGATAAGATTATCAAGATAACATTTTAATCGGTTAGCTAAAACCTTAGCAATGATTTTCTATGAGACATTACAAAACGGAATGGGTCGGAATTGTGAAATCACCTCCAGATTCTTGATTTTAGGAATAAGAGTGATTCTGGTTTTGTTCATCTCCTTTAGCATCAATCTATTTTCAAAAAAGTGTTTGACAGCCTTACAAACATCTTCCCCAACTAGGTCCCAATGTTGTTGAAAGAAGCAACCTGGGAAGCCATCGACACCTAGAGCCTTAAATGCTCCTTGCTGGAAAACTGCAGCTTGAATTTCAGCGTTTGATACTGGCCGACGTAATTCTTCATTCATTTCCAAGGTGATAAATGGTCTTATAAGTCCAGCAATCTGATCATAGTTACAAGATGCCTGGGAAGTATAAACCTGTTGAAAGTGAGAAAACACGTGTCTTGATCAGTTCATTACCCTCCAACAGCATCCTATGTTCATTCTTCAGCTAAAATATAAAATTATTCTGTCTCCTTTTAGATGCGATTGCATGAAAAAAATTGGGAATTTTTGTCACCAAATTGTATCCAATTTGTGCGGGCTCTTTAGAACCAATATGCTTCCTCTTGCATCCACAGAGAGTTGATTTTGTTAACAATAATCTTCTGCCTTTGGTCATTCATTTCAGATTGCTCTTCCAATTGTATGCGATCAAGTTCTTGTTGCAAGTTTTCCAACTCCTGACGTGAATTTGCTAAGGAAGATTTGCACCAATCTATCGAGTTTTTCTGACAATGAGCTAACTTGAATGTCATGCAAAACAATGGTGATCCGGAGCGATCTGTTGACCAACCTCGAGAAATCACTCCTGCATACCCATCTTGCAGTTGCCATTTCAACTCGTATCTGAATTGCTTCTTGAAACAAGCTGGAATTGCTTTTAAGCATAATAAAAGTGGGCAATGATCTGATCCAATTCTTGTACAATGAAATAACTGGGCATTTGGAAATAGTTGGCTCCATTGATCATTGATCATTGCACGGTCAAGTCTTTCTTGAATATGACCTTTAGACCATGTGTATTGGGGCCCTTTGTATATTACTTCCCGTAATAAACAAGAGCAAATTAAATCCTCTAATATTCTTTTGTCAGTCACCAGTGGAGGACGTTTACCCTTTTTATCGCTGCTGTCTCCAACTAAATTCAAGTCCCCCATTAGCAGCCACAGGATTGATTTAGGCTTACCCATGTTCAACACCTTATTCCACATGCTCCTTCGCAACTGTACATTTGGTTCACCATACACTAAGGAAAAATGCCATGAGGTAGTAAAAGCAGCATCTGAGCAACACCCATCAAACATATTTTTATCAGAATAGAAGATAGAAAGATTGATATCTTCAGTCTACCACAAGGCAAGACCCCCCGAATAACCTTGCGGTTCGACATAAGCACTGCTTGAAAAGGCAAACTTTCTTCTCAAATGCTCCAAGTATCTCCTTGGATTTTTAGTCTCCACCAAAAAAACTAAGCAAGGGCGATATTTAAAAATGAGGTCATTAAGCGCTGTTCGTGTCAGGGCTTGCCCAAGGCCCTGACAGTTCCACGACAATATATTCATGTTGATGGTGGTGGCTGCCAAAGGCCAGCCACCGAAGCCCCAAAATCATGATTATCATATGGTGACTGCTTAGTTAAGTTTGATGGAGAAGTATTGACGTAGGATAGGAGAGTACTTGAAGCAGATCCTATAATCAGCACAAAAGGAACAAATGGGGGGTCTTCAAAGGATCTTTGAGTTGGATGAAATTGGTTGAGTAGATTAAATCGAGGATTCGGCTAAAATTTGATTTGTCGATTCAAAGCCTTCGATCTAATTCTTCTTCTCACTTTCTGAACCGTAATTGATTCCACCACATCAATGAAAAAGCCTGCTTGATCCTGTTTATGGAAGTCTGATCTCCCTAAGGACAGAGCTTCTTGCATCTGGTTCGGTGAGCAGTGCAGTCCATCGTCATCATTCCTTCGGCAAGCCCATTTGAAAATGTCTATAAACAGTTCACTATCCAAGCTACATTTTCTTGCTCTAGTGGGCTTGTTACCCAAAGATAATTGGGATTCCACCTTTTGAGAAAGCAGGCCCAATTCAGGATATTGAATACTCCTTTCTGGCCCAATGCAATGGTCATCTGATTAAGTTGGATTATGTAAGGATATTTCAGTAAGATGAGAAGCTGGATTAGTAACCATCATAATTAATGATGTTGGCTCTTATATCAGAATGGCAGAGGTAGGTAATGGAGCTGCTAAGTTGGTTTTTTTTTTTTTTTTTTTTTTTTGACAACGATAATG